CAAATGTCATTCTATTACCTCAAATTCCACAATGCTGCTTTGTTTGCCTCAGTCTGGTTTGCATTTCTGAACACTTGTCACTATCTGCAGGTAACTATTTAGTTACATGAAAAGATATTAAAACCACATTAGCCATCTTTTCAAATACAATTTCAATTCTTTAAGTTGTTACAATTCTTGCAATGCTTAACCAGGATTTTTAAAGAAAATAGGAAAGAGACTATGCATTATTTAAGTTGGCACTGAAAAATTTGAGTGCCAAAAGTATTATAAGAACATACAGCCGCCTATACATTCATAGAATCATAGAATGGTTTGGGTTGGAAGGGACCTTCAATGGTCTTTTCCAACCCCCTGCAGTAAGCAGAGACATCTTCAACACAATCAGGTTGCCCAGACCCACATCCAGCCAGGGATGGTGCATCCACCAGTTCTCTGGGCAGCTTATGCCAGTATTTTAGCACCCTCATTGTAAAGAATTTTTACCTCATGTCCAGCCTGAGCCTCCCCTCTCTTAGTTTTTGCAGCACTGGTCTCCATTCTCAAATGCCACATTCCATCATGAAACAAATGAACCTGTGACAGTCCAGCCCAAGAATACACTTTGTGTTTTTCAATAAAAAGCCCTGGCCAATGTTCTTATACTGCTGCAGGAATTGGTCTCTCTTCCTAAGCTTTTCAAGAACATTTGAACACCATCTAGCAACGCAACTATTGCTTTAAAATTAGTTACAGAAAATTTCATGGCATTTCTTGGAGGAAAATAAAGAAAAGTGTGCTAGGAATACGCTCAGAATTGTGATATAAATTGATCTCAGCTTTGATTGATATGAGCTCAGGATTACAGATGAACCCGAAGAACCAGAACGAAATAATACCTTTGTTTATAAAACCAAGCTAGGTAACAATGGGAACCATGTTAGGGGCTATTCACACCTGCAAAAGTCAAGACAAGAATGGCTCAAACACACCCTTGAGTACCCACAGGTATGATGCAATGGTCAGTGAAATGCTGAGCACAATGCGAGCATTGGCAGGAACTCATCCAGGCAGTGCACATATCCAGCAACCAAGGCAATCCTCAAGCCACAAAACAAACCCTGCCTACCTCTGAACCTTGGTTGTCCCCAGCCATGCCCTCAGGTACCAAAGACTGTACCTGCTACATGAATAATACAGCAGAATAATACAGAGAAATACTCACAGCATGCCCTTAGGAACAGCAACTGCTGCTGTCCCCGCTTTCACAGATAACCTGCCCCCTCCACTGCCCAACAATGGGTTCCATCTTGCAGGCACCACAAAGGACCAAATCCTACGGGGTGCACAGCACTCGCTAATGTCACCCTGCTGCAGAGTGACTGCTGAAGCCACACCAGCTTTCTTGGGAAGTTTATTTAAATCCACCCTTAGAGGAACACTCTAAACTAAGACTGTTCTCTGCAGGCTGTATGACCATCCTACATGTAGCTGTCAAATACAACCAGAGCATACCATTCCTGCTGGATCGACTATAATATTTTTTGATAAATACTTATTTTAAGTGGAATTTGACAATCAGGATATGTTGGATACTAGGATTTAATGCATTTTCAGTGGGATCTTATAAGTTTTAAAATACGCCCTCAGATTTTGCTATAGAGACAGTTCAACCTTGACCTATCTCAGGATAATGATCTTTAAGGGCATTATGTACTTAGCTGACACAAATAACACTTTAATTACAGTTAATATGAGTCAGATTTTGTTTTGAATTCCATGATGTCAAACCTGGCATGCTCCTTTAAAAAGTCTTTACAGAGAGCACAATAGTTTTTTCTGCAACTCATCTAGACTTCTTGGGTCAGTATGACCTCAAGGAGAACATGATGTCCTTTGAGATCCTTTTCAAATAAAGTAGTCACAGTCAAAGCCAACACTTCTTTCACTTAAGAAACCTCTATGACTTCAGCTGGTGAAATCTATCATGCATCAAGAGGCAGTAGTCCTTGTACTCCTTATTTACATTGAAATACAGATGCAACTGAGCTCTGATTTCAGAAGTATCACCACTTGTACTGGAAATTTTTGTGTACAAGTGTAGGGACTCTGAAGAGATAGGCTGTTAAGCATACAGCACAGGGATGTAAATCTGTAGAAGCTTATGTAAGATCAGGTCTTTTAGTTATTTAGATAGCATAGGAAACAAGGCTCCTGGAAGTTACTAGACAATAAGAATAGCCCAGTTGATTTATGCATTAGCCCAGGGTATTTATTAAAATATCTGCAAATCTGGTCTCTTACACTAACAGCCAATTGTAACCAATGTCAGTTAATTCATTACATTTGCCAACATATAACATCTGGCATTTTTACTGATATCATAAGTTGTCTTTCATATTCCATCATCTCTCAGTAGTTTAGTAGACAGCTGTAAACATGCCAGCTGCCTCAATAGGATTTCACTAGATAGCTCAGTGAATTTAACAACTAGGCTGATAATAGCAGATATTTACCAACCATTGCCTTTCTAAGGAGTTGTGATTGACTACAGGAGGCCTTTAGAAAAATCCACAAGTCTCCTTTTTTTCTATACACAGTGCTGGGCAAGTGCTCATGGATGCTATTTTGTTAGCCTGATCCATAAAGCATATATACACAATTCATCAAGCTCAATAGGGATATTCATCCAAGACAGATTTATACCTCCACATAATCCTGCAGGGAGCTACTTAGTCATAGGCAGTAAGGCCAAAAGGGACCATTATGATAGTATAGTCTGACCTCCTGCATAACACAGGCCAGTGAAGCTCACCTAATAATTTATGCTTCAAGACCATAATTTGTGTTGGAGTTATAGCATCTCTTTTAGAAAGATCTTCAGTCGTACCTTAAATACTCTAAGTGGAGGTTAAACCATTACATGTCTAGTAAGTTGTTCCAGTGATGAATAACCCTTACTGATAAGAGACTGCCTTATCTCTACTGTGAATTTACATAGCATCGCTTTTTGCCATTGAATTTCTTTAAGTTTTTACATTCAGCTGGAAAAGGTATCTGTTATTTTTCCCTACAAAGACACTTGACTACAAGTCACATCTTAACCTTCACGTGAAGAAGTTAATAGACCAAGTAGACACCTTTGAACACACAGCATGTCCTTGTACTCTAATTAATTTTGTAATTCTCTGCACTTATTTTTAATATATTCTTTCTGAAATTTCACACCCAAAGGGGCCACATCAATTCTATACCACTAAGACAACTGTTTCTTACTTACTACACAGACACTCATGCTTAGTGAACAAAACATCACAACCTTGTGTTCTCATAAAACTAGGAGAAATTATTTCAGTAGAATAGCTTTAGAACAGCAATTAAAAACAGAGAAGCAATTAAAGATGTGTATAGATATCTTGGTATGTAATTCCCACTGATAGGAAGAAAAACACCTGATCCTGGATTTGAAATCATCCAGCATTAATAGCTACTGCTTAGCCTACTGCCTTCATCTATGGTGAAGCCTTATTTTTTTCAGTATCAATATAATTGTCTTCATTTATTTCACAACTCAGTAAAGTTTATTGCACTTTGACTATATAAGGATTATATGATACTGACACCAAGTCTAATACTGGACACAACTGAAGATGGGATTCAGTTTGTTATCAAATACAAGGACTGTTTGTAACTAACCTTACCAGAAGTAAGGCCAACTTCAAGTATTTTTAGAATGCCTGATTTTATCTAAACTTCATATATGGGTGTGTCATTTTTAGCTTTAGGCTGCATTTCAGTTCCCAGAACCCTAAAAAAATCCCCCTAACAACAAAACCACAAACTTCTGACATTTTTACCCACAGTCAGTTTTGAGAGGAAAGAAGCTGTTTCCCAGTGAAGCCTGTATTGTTAGAAAATGAGTAAATATAAACAAGTAATTAGTTCTACTTGATGTTATTCAGAAGTGTTGGACAGTTAAATAAGCCCCAAACTTCTGAAAGTTTATGTGTGGGAAAAAGCACTCCAAACAGCACCCGCTAATCCATTCCTCAGCTTGAGCCAGGATTTTTTCTGTTTCTTTGTCAAGATGTCTCCCAGGAAACTGAAGCAAGCAGTCACTTCTGAACTCCCCACAGATTTGGGTACTCTACTTTCCATTTTTTTCTTCCCTCTGGTTCTGTTGGGTAGCTTAATGATTTCTCTTTAACTGATTGTGCAGTGCACATACATATACATGCACTTATTTATGTACACACATACATGTGTGTCTATTTATGCCAGCTGAAATAGCTATCATTTTTTTATGGAGAGGACTGAATGTGCAGAAAGCTTCGTCTGGGCTGTGTACCAGCTCTTTACATAGGCCAAGCCAACTACTATACCTGCTAAAGAGTATGATGCTCAGCTGAAAAATTAGTTGTACTTGTCCCTCATGGACACAGGAGGTGTCTCACACAAGCAGAGAGAAAAATTCAACTCAAAGTTTACAAAAGTTTCCTGCTGTCTGATTAACAACTGTTTGACACTGGGCTCTTCTTTATATTTTGTAACTTCAACTTCAGGATCCAAGGTGACTGTATTTCATTCGAAAAAAAAACCAAACAAAGAGAACTAAAGAATCTCTGAGGACAAATCAAATTTGTATTGACAGAGACGCAACATATTTTTTCTTCATGCTTTGGCTATCCAAACTCCTAATATGCATTGAGTGATGTTTTCTTATTTTCTACTTTATGGGCTTAAAATAGTATCAAAATCCAGATTCATGGCCACCCAGGATGGTTGCTTCTTTTAGTGATAAGACAAATACCAGAGCTAATGGGGCTAGGGCATTTCAGTTCTAAGACTGAAACAATACTAGATCACAATCCAGGGAAACTAAGTTCAAGGCTCTTACTAAAAATTGGGGTGACTTAATTATTAGCATTAACAATTAGAAGTTAAACACATTGTGAAGATGATATGTTTAATGTAACCCATGCCTTAGGCATCAGAGTTGGCAAAGCTTTTCTTCATATTTAATGCATTGCACAACTCATCAAAATTTGGCTGTCTCTTAAAGATTATTCTTGTGTACAGGGGACTGGAAAATACACAGGTCAAATCCTTGCTCTAGCAGGTGCCTCTGCCTTTCTGAAATACCATTTCAACAGTGCTATTGGCAGCCCATTAGACATACAGGTGAAACTGTAATGGATTGGTAAAAAAGAGACTTAGTCTTCTTCCTCTGTTCTGGCCCTCTCTGTTACAGGTAAAGAAACATGAGCAGAAAGTTAATGTGGAGGTCAGCATAGCACTAGGAGCTGTGTTTATCAGCCAATGACTTAGAGATCTCATTTGTATTATCTTTGTTATATGGTTCATTTCTCTGCTGTAGTTCCAAGCTTGGCTTAACGTTCACATTTCCTATTCTTCATTCAGCCACTAAAAAAAGGAATGTGTTTATGTCAACCCCAATATTTGGCAATCTCCATACACGTTTTAAAATAAAAGGGCCAAACATGTAGTGTACAATCTTGTTCTTGTGACTGGAAGTGGACTGCACTCATCAGCTATTGATCCTGCCACATTTTCTGAGGGAGAAGCCCTAATTCTCATGAGACTATTCTCAGGTGCTTCTAGAATTTTTAAACACATCAATAACCCTCACATCTTTGCTGCTACACAGATCTTCGTTCCCCTACTTTCACTAAGGTGGCAGACTGAAAGACCTCACTAGCACACCATCCTTCAAACATTGCCCCAGATGAGCCTGGTTCAATTATAGATTTTACTTTTCAGGTCTTATTACTGTTAATAACACATAAGTTTAAGGCTTTAGAGATGATCTTATTTTTGAAAGACTGTGAGAATATTCAATAAAACAAGGGCTTTTTTACCACTACTTAACCCCACTTCTTCCAAACACAGGCATTTTCTGAATCTTCTGTTAAATTTGTGATATGTATTGTTAAATGGACACATAAGTTTAAGGTTTTAGAGATACTCTTATTGTTGAAGGACTACCAGAATATTCCATAGAAATAGTTTACTTTTAACAACAACTGCCCCCCTCCTTTCTTTCAAGCACAGGAATTTCCTGAATTATCTGTTAAATTTGTGATATGTATTGTTAAATGGACACAACTGAAAACATACGGCTTCAGAGTCCTTAGCATCCAGAACCAAGTACCAAATGACTTAAACCAAGTAAAGCAGAAACAACCAGAAAGAAAAAATAAAAATAGTCTGGGCACTTCTGAGAACTGCAGGCAACAAGGATAAAACCTCTTTCCCTACAAGGCTTCATATATTACTGGTATTCTAAGAGAAAGACATCAAGAGGATGATAGCATATGTCCCCCAGTGAACACTAAGTCCAAAGTACATTTATACATAACACTGGCTTTCTAGATAGCAATCTTGAGTGTCTGAAATAAACCACTTTAAAGGATCTCAGACTTACCTTCACTCTCAGTGTTGCAGGTACTCTGTGGCAAGTCCCTCTTACTCTGGAAAAAACGAGCTGGTTCTCAGTCCACTTCTGCTGCTTTGCCTAAAAGGGAAAAGAAGCTGTCTTAGCAAAGCAGAAGGAAATTTTTAATTTACCACATTAGAAAGAAGCACTTCTGCAACCCTTTTCTAGGGTCCTTTCACAGACCTCCTCACCTCCAAAGCATCCACGTGGGCTGCACTCTCACACTAAGCCAAAAGCAACCACATGCACTCACAAAGCTTCTGAGCACGTGACTGGGTGAAGGTAACACTGCCAGAACAGCTGAACCTCATTACCCTTAGTAAGACCAGATCCAAGTTTCAAGGGAGAGACAGGTGCTGAGACTGGCACTTTTATTATGCCTGGGTGTGGTTAATTTAGTGACAAGCTGTGGATGCACTTAAATAAATGTTGTACATGCTGTAAAGATTTCCACTCTATCACAGACAAAGCTGACTGACATTGATACATTTAGTTATGCTTGACAGAATCTGTTTTATCTGGCAGAACATTTTACAGGTGCATATACTGTAATTCAACAGGATTGCATGACTCATTTGATAATTAGTGTGAGGTCTTTTAACAAGCACAAACAAGAACCCAGGAAACTAATACCTTCCAAGAAACTTCATTCTCACTTTGCAAGGGTTATATACCAGAGTGAGGGGTGGCTGAAGTAGGCTGACCATGCCATATTGGTGATTGCCAATACAAGTTTGCTGCAAAGCCAAATTAGAGACATTAGCAATTCAAGTTAATTTCATTATATTTTGTTGGTCAGAAAAAACATCATATGGGAAAAAAGTTTAGCATAAGAACAGGAAACAAAAATAATGTCATCTGCACTTGTCAAGTATACTATGGATTTGATATTCATATATTCGTATGCAGAAGTTAAGAAGTCATGGCAATATCTATACTGTTGTTTCTAATAGGTGTTGATTAAACTATTAGGAGCTTTAAGAGAAGGATGCTCAAGTCATTATTCATGTAACACTTCATAATTGTTCAGCTACAGTATAATCGCACAAGTTATTGAGTAAGGGACCTACTGTAAAACTATGTCCAGTGTAAAACTAGGGGAAAGAATGCATAAAAAGTATTCAGGCAGCTAAGGATTATGTTAGCAAACCTCTCTAGGTCCATATTGCCTAATGACCTCGTTTTTTGACTTTCCATTTCTGTCACCCTGGAGGGCCATTGCCATAGGCAGAGCATACAGTGAGAAATAAATCCTGGACATACTCAGGTGGATAGCAATACAAACACGCATACACATCCATTTCGTTATGGCCCACCTTACTGAACTTACATGACTTGTTCCACCTATGTTTGTGATGAAGTAATCCAGACTAGTTTATCTCCTGACACCTGCTGAAGGTTCACAATTTTCTGATAGTCAAGTGAGCATTTTAGGAAGAAGTAATAACCTTGATTAAAAGAACAGAAAAAACACTGGGAAAAAACAGAGTATCTTGCAGGCACTGAGCTCATCAGCCCATGGCAAGCTGTGCAGAACACAATTTCAGACATGAAGACAGGCTGAGTGTCTGAAAGCTTGTCTTTTATCCAAGAATATCAGTCTAATAAAAATTATTAACTCTGTCTACAGATCTTGCCTCCTTTATACTCTTAGACTATCATGGCTTCACAAATGATCTTACAAATATCTGGGAGCCACTGCTGGCAGGGATGGGTGAGTTCCAGCAATGCTGCTCCCTGCCAGGCCACCCCTCTCATTTCCCAGCCAGAAATAAAAAGATGTGCTCCCTAAAAGAGTACTTTGAAGGGAGGATGGCCATTATGTTCACCACAATTAGAAGACTTGTAAGAGCTATGTTTTGGGATTATAAAAGAACAACCTTGCTACTTTTTATGTCTCTAGTTCAAAGATGCCAATCCTACCTCCGTATGTTGAAATAAGGCTGATTTAGACCACAAGACACAGATTGTTACAGATAAATTGCCAACTTCAGGGCAAAGTAGCAACAAAATATAGCTTTTAAAGAGGCAGGTAGAGCTCTGAGAGAAATGAATCAACCTTTCCCATTCATCCCTGACCTTTTACAGTATGTGAAAACTCAGTCAAAAACTAAAAAAGCCAAACCAAAAACCCCAAACCAACCCCAAACCTCTTTTTTTTACTAAACACCACAGCTGGATTTACTAAAATTATAGTTGAGACCACTGGAAAATTGCTAGGATGATGAAACAGCTTGTATCATAACCACCACTTTCATTCTGCCATGTGGTTTAAAAACTCATCTGATTTACTCTCTACCATTTTTCTTGTCTGAAAAGAATGTTGCTACACAATCCTTAGTGGTTAAAACTATGGCTGAGTCATTCTACTTTGACACAGTTGACTTACCCTTCAGAAAGCCTGCTCCCACCACATTGTTTGGAGAGTGATTGGAGATGCTTCGGCTTCTGCAGAGCTGTCCCATGGAAGGAGGCTGTGTATATATCCCCGCAGCTCAAATCCATACAGGAAGTTCCTTGGAAGCTAGGGACTAGCCAAGAAAATGCATGCAAGAAGGAGTGTAACAGCAAATGCAACAAAGTATATTTCAGCAGTTGTTAGACTCTTTCACATTTTGACCAGAGGGTATTCTGGACAATAGGCTGCTCTCACACATCTCAGTTTCCCACTTCATTGAGAGATTATGATCTGTCTACAGCAGATTATCCATTTGACAGACTGATTATTCATAATGGAAGAAAGAACAGATGCGAGACACTCAGGACTGGGAGAAATGAGAGATTAAGACAACGTTGAAGGACAGTCTGAAATGCGTTGGAAAAAGGTAGAGAGGGAGAAAGTCTACCAAATAAACTCACTATAACAAGATCACTTTTCATTATCTTTCATTTCTGCTCATCAATGCTGCATGGACATCCCATGCTGGATTGCCAAACCGTTAGGCCTGTTACTCCTCTTGCTTTTGGCACCACATGCTATAAATATGCCAGCTCTGAGCATGAGGGATGTAGCAAGTATGCCCCTGTAAACTTGCCAGATTTTCTCTGCATGTGCCACCCATGAATTAAGACCGATTTTCTCTCATGAATAATGATTTCTCCCTCCCCAGCAATAAAATCTTTAGCAGTCACTGAATGCGCCCTGTCCCAGACCTCAGCATCCCCCTCCTTAACTATATGGCATCAACTGGTTTATCATCTGAGAACATACTAAACAGTTGGTGAGATTAGTCAGCCAAAAGAAAACAACTACATCAAAATAAATATTTATTTAAAACAACCTTATGATAAAAATTGTTCTTTGGCTCTCATACCCCTGAAGTAATAATAGTTGATATCATTGAAAGTGGAAGTTCAGATACAATACAGTCTTAAATGATCAGAGACAAAAAAATCCAGCAGATCATGCTCTCAGCTCATAAAAAAAAAACAACGCTCCACATTAAATTTAACATATTTACTGCATTCCCCCAAGGATGCATTGTAAAAAGTGTATTTTGTACTGTGCAGGATGTATCCCAATTCTATTTCATTTCACTTGGGAGTCTTGTTTTCACTGATTTTAAGTGACTTCCTTCTGATCTGTGCTCAGTAAAAAAAGGAGTTAGATACAGTCTGTGTAAAAGATCAAGCCAGGTTTATTTATTTTATAGCTTAGCTTGTTCTCACTGCAGAGTGAGATCTTACAGCAAATATGGGTAGACATTCTGTGGTTAAGTAAAGCTGCTCTAAGCAGGTGGATTTAAGTGCTTTCCAAGGGATTCCTGGCAGCTAACACATGTGGCCACAGAAAAGGAAGCAAGCCCATGACCCTGTGCTGGAAGACAGGGTTAAAATGTAATTTAATGGTCAGGGTTAAAATATAATTTAAACACAGCATCTTTCCCTGTCCATGATGTATGCATTGATCAACAGCTGAGGTAAGAACCAGGGGATGTCCTCACTTCCGGATAACCAGCGTTGTCAGAGAAGGGCACCACTGTCACTCTCAGGATTTTCCCTAGGATTTTAAAGAATCTTAACAATTCAAGATGAAACAGGAAAATGTCATATTATAAAAAACAAACAAACAAAAAAACATATCCCCCCCCCCAAAAAAAAACAAACAACAACCCAACAACAATAAAACCCCAACAAAACCAGAATAGAATGAATGTTTTCTAGTTTAGATGTGGGTTTTATGCTGCCAGATATGGACTTGTAAGATATTATAGCAGTACTAAATACAGTTTATTAGTAGAATCTATGAATCATGAAAATACAAAGGCAACACATTTAAGGTTAGGCACAAAACCTTAATGCTACCATTTTGTAATTTTTGAGTGTATAACAATGTAGTTCTCTTATTGCAGCATTTTTAGTTAGCATCTTTTTAATCCTGAGGATTCTGTGAATGTGAAATCATTCAAAACCTAAAATTGCCAATGCTTTAATTTCTATAAATTTAGAAATATTTAGGTGTACCTAGGGAAAAAAAGTAATATTAGGACCCACCTTTCTCTCTTCCCTCCAGTATCATTCAAAACAATCCATTAACAGCACATGTAAGGATAGTAGTTTATAATAAGAACCCAAACTTCGTTAAAGGTAAGCATAGCACAAGAAGAAACATTCACTCAGTCCCTAAGGAACCAAATCATATTACAGTAAAGATTTGTCAGAGGAAAACCTAACTATATATTTTCTTTCTTGTGGGTCATACTGAATTTCATTCCTGTGAGCCAAGAGGTACATAAAAATGCAAAAATCATATTTTTTTTTCAGACAAATAACAAAGCAATAGAATTCAAAGCTATAGCAGATGGATCATTTCAAACCCAGGAAAAAGATTACTAAAAAAAAAAATAATAGAAAGAAGTGTTAATTATTTTCCTGATATGATGCCAGCATAATATTGGTATGCAACTAACCTCTAGAGCTCAGGATTACATCTATGCTCTGGGAGCAATCAGTTCTAATACAATAAGAAGAAAACTGTTAGGCATCCAATGCAGACCTCAGCTGCTAGAAAGCTTACTTTGACTATATTTCAGTACTGTATCCACCATCTTTACCCAGCTTCTATGAAATTTTATAAAATCAAGTATATCCTAATATTTAATCTATCTAAAATGAGTTAATCCAAAATCTGAAGCAAACATCTACAATGCCACCATTTCCAAGAAATTTAGATACTGACTTTGTAGTTACACTTTTGTAGAGCATGTTTAACAAAACTGCTAAGAGGAAGGGTAAACAAAGGTTGTTCTTCACAGTCTTTATACAAACACATACCTATCACAA